GGGAATGTCTAGTTGTCATTATGAATACGACTTATAAAGGATTCACAGGCAGCACTACAGCGTGCATCAAGGGTTTCAATACCGGCTAGCATTAGGGTATCTGAGTACGAATGACCTGGCCAAATAATGGTGAGAGCACGCCTCTGCACTGACTCTAGGGTCTTATATAAGTAAGACGGTAAATTGGCAAATGCAGTAGAGGCGTACTCAAGTATGGAATATATTAGGCAGCAATAGATGTAGACGATATCTTCCGCTGGGACAGAACTTCTCCTGAGCTGCCTTAAAACAAACAACCGCCTGTTAGCCTTCTTCAGCAAATAGTCAACATGCGTCCCCCCGGAAAGGTCATTGGACAAGTTGACGCCTAGCAGCTTGAACGACGAGACCTCTTCGATAACAGCGCCCCTCGATACGACAGGGGGCGCCTTGTAACTATTATACTGAAGGAAGCCAACAGTCATGCACTGACATTTAGTAGGATTAAGGTGCATGTTATTGGTGTTAACAAAATTTTGAATGTCTTTCACAAGGAAGTTACGCACAGAAGGAGAATTTCTTGGCAGAATTTCCATGATGGTTAAGTCATCAACAAACTTGATACGCAAGCCCCCGGAAGACATCAGGTCATTAACCATGCAAGCAAACAAAATAGGCCCTAAACGGGTACCCTGTGGTATCCCGCCGCACAAAGCTTGGGAACTAGAACTGACCGTACCTTATCGATACAGTCGTCCCGAATCTTCCGATTCGTTTCCCTAAGGCAAAACCTCTTCTTTTTCCGAAGAATCTGACATACTCGCATCTCTACTAGGACTGTTAACATTCCCTTTTCCTTACTTAAGGGCCAAGTGGATGAGCACGTGCTGTCGTAAGCGACGAGTTGAAGACTTTGGGGCGAACTTGTTTTAATTGATGGAGCGAACTCCTCAAGATTGGGTGGGAGGGGCGGGGGAGGGGGTAGCTGGTAGAATTAGTAAGCTACTATAAAACAACGCACAGACTTCACTTGAAATTTGCAGGACCTGCAACAGAGCTACCCACTTTTCTCCGAGACAGAAAGATACCTACAAAATTTATAACACCTGATCTGTCCATTACCTTTCTGTTGCTATTTTCCTTGTATTCAGTGAACGTAGAACCGTCTTGGCTGTACTCTACAAAGTATTGCGTGACCCACTGTGCAGCATCCTGTCTACCTTGCGTGGATATCTTCACCACGCGCATGGCACGATAAAAGTCTACCGCAAGCCACTGGTAGCGGGTGTTGTGCCTGGCACACCAGGCTCCCATACGAGAACCTGTGCGGCGGAAGTGTAGCCGGGCATTGCGAGGACCATGATTGACATCCCAGCTCGAGGAGGCTGATAGTTGGGTTTGCCGGATGCGGCCATTTTGCATACCGAGTGGTTTGTCGCATCTTGGGCCTAACAGAGGAAAATTTCAGGAATGAGGAGACTACACATAATAGGGAAACATACACGCATCTGTTCTCCAATTTCTTTCTGACTTTTTCCTGACTTTTCCTTGGTAGAAATCAAAATTTAATGTCCTTCACTAGATAAATACTAAATATAATATAGAAACATTCAGCCCCTGTTAAACCACAGAGACTAACAACAAAATCCGAGTAACTGAAAACTGAGGCAGAAACTCTTTTTCTGTAAGAACACTTTTGTCCTAAAATGTTTATTGTAAACCTACCAATTACACAGCCATAGAATTCCACTCTCATTGAAATCCAGCTTCGCCAAGTAACAGGATGAATCCTGAAGTACCTTCCAGAGAGTGGCCTCAGGAATCGATTGGTGACGACCATGTATCGGTCATAATTACCAGCGAATATCTATACAGGGGGGTGAACGAAATTACTAGTGTCACTCAGGCTTTAAGTATATGGCTAAGAGCACTAAATATTTTTTACAATAAGAACGATTTAAAAGCAAGCTTCTAGATTACTACTGGATTCCATTGGTTTTATATTACTCTGCTTTTTGATTGGTCCAAAAAACTTGCATCCCTCTCTTAACCAATCAGAAGTAAATCTACAAACAACTGCCACTTGATCCGTCATGTTTTTCCCGCGCTTCAGGCAGACTGCTCATTCTGTCTCCGGCATTTTCCTCTGTTCACATTGGCCACTACAATTACCGTGATTTCGGTTTTACCACATTCGTACGAAATGTATTCCATCTCTTTAACTCTCGAGATTTAAATTTCAATTCTCCGCAGTGTCTCCCGTGCACTTCTCTCAACTTCCTTCTGAGAATTTGATGCTAAATCAAACGGTGTTCCTGGGTTGCTACTTTTCTTTTGTATCATTAACTTCCTGTTTTATAATGTATTGGTGTTGTAAAATGGAATTCCTTTTTTGGTCACTCCTGGGTTTGAAAGCGATATGTAACACGAGGCCGTCTTGATATCGTTCCTAGGCAATTATATCGCCGAGCCGCTTAAGAAAGTGTCGTCTCTAATCAACAGTCGTCCAGTAGATGGCATTAGGACCTGAATTAAAAGTCATTCTACACAGATAATAACCAGTGTACCTTAGTACGGCGTCCTTCTCTGTAAGGTACATAATGTTGACCATCCCGGCTAAAAGTTACATAATAACTTGTAACCCACTGATCAGAATTTTGACGACCTTGTGTGGAGACGCGTGTTACTCGGGTAAGTCCTCCAAAGTCGAACTGAAGGAACTGTCGTCTATCGCTTCTTTTTACACACCAAGCTCCTCCAAATCTTCCAACTCGTCTCTGGTGGAGCCTGGCGTTTCTTGGTGCACAGTAGTAGTTATAAAATGAGGAAGCAGTGATGAGCTGGTCGGGGAAGCGACCATCTTCAACGCCAAGTGGTACGTCACAACGGTCTAAACAACGAAAAGTATAATATAATTATTAGGAGTGTCAGTGGTAACTGAAGTGAGCTAACAACCTGTGTATGAAACAATCCAAAAAAATGCTAAGAAAAAGGAAATTTGGAAGATATGCCATTGAAGAAAGTTTTGATCCCAGTAGGGTTGCGAAATGCTCCGCCAACTTTGTTGCCAGGCCGTTATGGTATTGGAAACAGATGGAGGACGACATTCGAGGATGTCAGTTAAATGTCAAACTAAAACGTTCGTAATAGAAATATATTGCTATAAGGTTGGGATAAAATCTATCATATTCTCTTTTTAAAGTATTTGCAAGAGGGAGATGTAGAACCATCTACAAGAGATGAAACGAAACGCTACATGACAACAGACTTACTCCATGGACAACCATACAACTCAAGCCTCATTGATATGTGTGATCGCCAGCCGCGCATTTGCAGTCGAACAAAGCGTCCATAGATGGGATACGGCAGAGGATTATTGCGTATGGAGTACCTGTCCTGATTGGCAGGGAATGTCTATGGAAAAAGGAAAAAATTTCAGGATGTTAATTAACAAGATTGTAGCAAGAATTAATACCTTAAGTAAAACTGACCTAGAAAGTGGAATTTGTAAGTAGTATATGTCAAGACGAATGATCAAGCTTTATCCGTCAACTTGTCGATGACCAAGAGGGCTTATCAACACATACTTCCGTTTCAGAGACACAAACAGGCGCCAAAAGTCGTGATCTAGTTCTTTTCCCTGGCGCTTGCCGTAGAATTTTCGATTGTACTATTAAGTTTAAATGCTAAAACAAGGATTGCGCGATTGTTTCCTTGTTATCAAAGCGCATTATTGGTGGATAGCTTGTTTTTTGGTCGTCGTTCGCGTGCCAAAAAACGTCTGTGCTAATGAGTCACCCACTCAACTTTAACCGTGAGTCTGACATCTTTAACTCTCATATTTCTGTCTCACATTCCCTAAGGCTATTTAAACCAATTCTACGGATAACAATGGCTTTCCTTGGACTACTTTGTTAAGTACATATATATAATATGTATCTCGACATCCTGAGACACAGAGGAGGCAGTGATGACTTACAATAAGATTGTTTGCCTCGCAACTTTCGCAATAGGCCACGAAATGGTCTCTCGCATTACTCTGAGAGCATTTGAGAGTATCTGTGAGTATTTATCTCAGTTCCAAAGCTTTTTCTAACGCACAAGAAAAAACACAAATTACACAATAATTTAAACTAATGCTCACCTTCACCACATCCCACCAATCCTTGACTTTAGCAAACTTCACTCCGTCCGCGCTGTAGAGAACGTCAAACGCTGTCACCCACTGCGCAGCTTCATACCTGCCTTGTGTTGCCAAACCGGTGACCTTCATAGATCTGTGCAGATCAACTTGGATCCACTGGTTATGGTTGTTCTTCTTAGCAGACCACGCACCCATCAGTCTGCCACGACGCATGTTCCCAAGTCTGGCAAGCCAAGAAGCATGGTTTTTGTCCCACTGAGATGAAGCTGTGATGGCTGCATTCTTGATTCGGCCACTTTGCATACCAAGAGGTCTGTCGCATACATATTCTAACAAAAAACAAACAAACAAACAAGTAGATGTAGTAATGTTTTCCCTTAATTTTAAGGGGCGAAGTAGATGTCAAGAAATGAGGATATTTCTGAGAAATATTCAAATGTCTACCTTTGTATCGGCACCCATACAGTTCTACTCTCATGGCAATATAAGACCTCCAGGTCTTGGGATGAATTCGTATGTACCGAGCTCTTATAAAAGGTGATACTCTCTGGGCAACAGTATGGTAGATATCATAGTTTCCACGGAATCTCTCCAGGAAAATAACCAAAAGATATACCAAATAAGGAAGTATAACTTGATAATGTCTACTTAAAATTTATTATTATAACCAATTTTTCTGTTAGTTATGTGCCCCTTGAGGAAGTTCGGTGATACACCTTATACGTGACAAATACCCCCCTTTAGCCAACTAAAAGCTTTAGTGAAAAGAACCCACTGATAACCATCCCATGATGAACTTCTCCTTTGATAACGAACTTCCGTTATAACGAACCTTCGTGATGACGAACCCCTGTTGTGTTGAACCTCCGTTAGAGCGAGCTCCTCTATCAACGAACCTCCGTTTTAAAGAGCCCCCGTTTTAACCAACAGTCCCTGGCAGTTCGTAATTCCAGGATTCCTTTGCAAACTGCTACAGGTTATCGAATAGTCGTAAGCAAACCACTGCAAACACACAGGTACAAACAAATACAAAATTGTATAAAACAAGTTTACCTTGAGTCTTCCACCAACTGTATAAGCTCTAAACCTTCGGCCATCTTTGCTGTACGAGAGAACATAAGTGTACACCCACTGATGAGCTTCTCTCCTTCCCTGCGTGGCGATTCCTTTGATGATACACATCTGCCTCAAATCGATCTGCAGCCATTGCTTTGTGTTTCTATACTTGGCTACCCAGGCTCCCGTGCGGCTGTGACTGGCGTAGATGTTGAGACGCGATCGCTCAGGGCCATGGTTGTAATTGTATGATGACGAAGCACGAAGATGTCCTGATAAGATACGGCGGTCTTCCATACCAAGTGGCATGGTGCAACGATCTGATAAAAGAAAAAATATGAAACTCAATTGACAAGGAAAGGCAGCTCTGCGGTGGTGGCTAACAATAAGAACTACTAGATACTAAACTACACAAGAAATTCACGGCATTACCACAAAAGTAAACTTTATTTCAAGCGGTAATCTCACGTACATATATGACCGTAAACCCTCTATTAAACACCCCCCTCTAATAAGCCCCCCTCTTCAGAGAAAGAAATTTATTAAGCCCAACTCCCTACCCTCCGAAATATAAATTTGCACAACAGGAACGAGAGCTCTATCAGCAGATGTCCAACTAATTTTTGGTCTTGAGAGCCGCTTGAGCGATAAATTCCAACAGCAAATTCATCACACAACTTCGCTTCCTCTCTTGTATCACGCTCACAGAAAAGGTTTTCTCCGACCACGGGCTTCCAAACTCTTTTTGTAAATATGGTGACCACGGGCTAAATTAATAAGTCCCCCCTCCGATAAGCCACCCCCTCCCCAAAGTACCTGAATGAAATAAGCCCCCACGGGGGCTTATTAGAGGATTTACGGTAGTTTAAAAGAGAAAAGATAATCTAAGTGCGGTTGAGGCAGAATATTATAGTATTAGCGATACAAACGTGCGTAAGGATGAACAATTCTAAACAGTCATCTTTTCGGATTGAATGATTAACACCTCCTTTAGTTTCCAGAACATTTTTTTTAGTAGCTTACGCCCTATGTGGATCATGTTCTTTCTGGCTTTGAAGATTTTGTTTTCATCAGTTTGGAAAAGACCTCAGGTAATTTGCTGTAAACTTTAAGACAGTGAACACTTAATCACCTGTGAAGCATCCATAGAACTCAGCTCTCATAGAAATGTGTCTGTACCATACCCATGGATGAACCCGGATGTAACGGCATCGAATCGCAGGATTAAATGAATTGTGGACCACACTGTTACGGTCTCGGTTTCCCGTGAAATACTGTTGAAGGATTTGGAGTAAATTCAATTTAACTTTAAGAAAGTTAATAAAAAATCATTCTAAAAAGTATGGCAATCTATCACACCTGTGTAATGTAACACTTGTGCGATACATACGTTTTTATGGCTACTGCCTCTTATGGGGGCGAAGCCGTATTGTTGTTTCTTGATATAACGTAATGTAACGTACAGTAACCCTTGTACCGTCAAAGCAAAGTAACCTTTGCAGTGAAATCAATACGGGAGGACTCCTAAGGATAAGGATAAAAGGTATGGCTCGACCTCTCGTAACGCAGAACGCAGCCAATGGTTATAACACGTTTTTAGGCTTAATTCAGTACTGTACTTTCAATTCTACTTTTCATTGTTATTCATAGAAACCAAGAAAGTAAAGGATATTCTTCTGATGAAATCATTAACTTTCATTTTCTTTCGTTCATTCTTTCTTTCTTTCTAATTTATATCTTTCTCCACATTATTTTTCTTTTCGAATTCAGTGCTTCTTACCATTTATTGTTGAGCTGATAGTCACCATGTCCAACTACTTGCACAATTTACAGGGACCCAAGGTTTGCTTAATCACGCGATTTCTCTTAGGCGCTTTTTTGGGGTACTTCCCTTTCACTAACAACACAATATTCAAATGATCTCAAACTTTCGTACCTTCCTATTGTTTCTCTCCTTGTATTCCACAAAATTGACCAGATTGACACTGTAAGTGACATAGTATTGTGTGACCCACTGATCAGCGTCGTCCCTTCCTTGAGTGGCAATCTTGATAATCTTGGACGGCCTTGTAAAATCAATCTGTAGATACTGGTATTTGTTGTTAATCCTGGCACTCCATGCACCCATATACTTCCCTGCCCGCCGACGATGAAGTCTCGCCAGGAAAGAAGCGTGGTATTTATCCCACTGAGAAGAGGCTGTCATCAGGTGGTTCTTAAGGCGTCCAATCTGTAATCCCATTGGTTGGTTACACATTCGACCTTGAGTAAAAAGGGAGAGACAGAAATGAGTTGATTAGTGCATTACAAAAAATGAGTCTTTAACACTGGGACGTCCGCGAGGTAGCTCTTCGTAGACTGTTACTCACAACAAAAGCAATCACAAAGCCTTATCTAAATTGATATAAATCAGTTTTTTTGATACTACGTTATGTGCTCCTTACCTAATCTACAGCCGTAAAGTTCAACTCTCATAGAGATGTATCCATACCAACTCCTGACATTGATTCGCACAAATCGAGCCACAAATGGCCTAAAGAAGCGATGGGTTACGACGAAGTATCTCTCAATATTGGCTTGGAAGATCTGCAATAAAAAGAAAGATGTTAAAAATTTCTACGAGGTAAAATTCTTTAAGAAATTTGTCACAAACTTATAAATAAGTGAGAATTTGAATGGAATGATTCTTGAAAGGGATATCACATAGGAAGGCAATGGCTAAGCGGTCCCGGAAGTAACCCTTTCTCTCCCATGAGTGACCAAGACAGAATTTCTACTTACAATATCAAGCTGACAGGTGACGAGAATAAGGAAAAACATCACATGGGCGATTATTTGTTGATTCGACACCAAATTCTCAGAACTAACATTATAAGAATTGTATGGCAGACAGTAAGGAGAATTACTAATGGAACGGCTTGGGAGTGAAAGGGTTAAGCCTTCCAATCTGCTTTTCACTGGATTTGTTCCCATTTGCCTCGAGTTTGCCTGGAGTTTGCCTCGAGTTTACCTCGAGTTTACCTCGAGTTTACCTCGAGTTTGCCTCGAGTTTGCCTCGAGTTTGCCTCGAGTTTGCCTCGAGTTTGCCTCGAGTTTGCCTCGAGTTTGCCTCGAGTTTGCCTCGCGTTTGCCTCGCGTTTGCCTCCTTGGCTGCGCTCTATAAATAGCCCGCTGGTTTACCTATTATCTATATTTATCTTCACTATTTGTTTCATTTTTTATTGCAATGGCCCTGAAAAGCTCTTTTGGAGGAAAAGAACCATCATCATCATGCTTCTGAAACAGACCAAAAGGCAACTGACACTTCCATAATGATTGATTAAATGGATGGATAGTTTCATACCCTGATCTTTCGCCCCTCTGTGTATGACACAAACTTGTCACCTTTCAGGCTGTAAGACACTGTATAGGACTTCACATACTGGTTAGCGTCATACCGGCCCTGAGTGGAAACCCTCTTTACCCTGCACTTAGTTCCAAGGTCAATCTGTAGCCATTGCTTATTGTTATTGTACTTCGCAATCCAGCCTCCTCGGGTGGAGCCATAGTTCCTGGCTTGGAGCCTAGCACTCCAGGGACCGTAGTAGTGGTTGTGCATGGAGGATGCCGTGAGCATAGATGAAGTAACACGGCCATCTTGAAGACCGAGAGGAACATCGCAGGGATCTGCAGGAAGATTTTTATTTCAAAACACTGATTAGATTTCTCTCGGCAGACCTTCATCAACACGAAGGTTACTTATTATAAGTTGGTGAATACTTATAGACAAGTGGACAAACATTTAAAACAAAATACTAACCAGCTCGACATCCGTAGATTTCCACCCTCATCGAGATATGACTTCGCCATCCCCACGGGTGAATCTTTATAATCCTGGCATATATTGCAGGAGTCAAAGCTTGTATTTTGACGCTGTTTTGATCATAATTGCCACGGAAGGTCTGAAAAAAGAGAAAACATAGAAAAGAGTGATTTTCATGCTAAAACGTGAACGAAACGTTAACACAATAGACAACTCAACATTTTATAACTTAGCCTATCGAGGTTTGTAAACGGCCAGCGGCCAGTCGCACGTTCCGTTTGCGGGGAGGACAGCATCCCACTCCCCTGGACAGTCCGGGAGTATGAAGCTTTGGGAATGCCTGAATTTCCCCAGCTTTATGCTCTAAATTGAAGTCTGTCCATGCGATAAGCCTAATACCGCAGAATACTTTTTGTGCGACCAACTCTCCTCCTTTGTTCTCTCTACCGCCATTATGCGCAAGGCAAAATCAGCTGCAGAAAAATAAATGCCTATCTAAACGTGGTTCTTGGTAAACCTCCACAAAATGCTCTAGCACCTTCGCTCATCAATTTGCGACGAGTAGAGACATCTTTAAAACCGACTTAATGTACATCAATAGAGATTTCGCTCGTGTGACATGTCCTTACCATATCGTTGTTTTTGAAGCGATACATTTGCCAGTGTATGCCATCCACACTGGATGACACTCTGTAGTATGTCACCCACTGCGCTGCATCCTGTCTTCCCTGAGTGGCAATTTTTGTGATTTTCATCAGTCGTCCCAGGTTCACCTTCAACCACTGATTTTTGTTTTTGTGCTTTGCACACCAGGCTCCAACATATCTTCCTCTCTTGTGCAGATGCAATCTCCCAAGTCTGGCCGCGTGGTACACATTGTACTCGGACGATGCAGTGATTTTACTGTTACGGATACGACCATTTTGTAAACCTAAGGGTGTGCTGCAGATTGCACCTAATAAAACAATTATACTCACGTCAACTACTGTATTGCGCTATGTTCATCATAAAAAGAACAAAACGGGGTGGGGCGGGGCGGGGCGGGGCAGGGGGTTGGTTATATTGGGTCTATTTCATCACTGGTGTACGCAAGAGGGGAAGGGTACAGTCCGGTACAACGGGATCTATTTCATTTACAAAGAGGTTACAAATGTATCTCAAAGTTTCATTGCTAGTGAGTTTCCTCTATCTAAAAACATGAAAAACACCTTACTTGTGCAACCAAAGAGCTCAACTCTCATTGAAATCCACCTGTACCAAGATTTTGGATGGATCTTCACGTACGCAGCAGTGAAGGATTTCAAAAAACGATGGAAAACTACGGAATGTCTGTCACTATTGCCAGAGAATACCTAAGTTTTGGGAAAGTTTTAAGAGATTATAAGCAAACTTTAAGAAGTAATGAGCCGTTCCTAAACCCTTGCAGCTTGTTATATGAATGAACAATTTCACAATTAGATTCCACATAGCCCTGCTTCTTTTCAGTGATAAATCACAGATGACGTCTTTTTAATCTATTAATGTACAGACCCACAGTAACATATAATCTATTTTTTGTAAATGATAACAAAGCAGAAGGTTGTTGATAGCTACGTCGTCTACCCAAGGACCAATCAAAATGTGTGTATGATTCAGCTTATCATATAAAAAATAGAAAGAACCTGAACGTCAACACTGAGGAATTTAGGCAGACCAACGAAAACGTAGATACCTCAAATTCGTGATAGGAAAATTTCGCCGAGCAGGGTTTGCTATATTTCAGGTTTGAAAAAGAAAAATATCTAGGTAATCTTAATTCAATCGACGATTAAAAGCTCAGAATTTCACTTGATAATTCATTATCAGAAAACAATAATAACGATAACGATAACAATAACAATAACAACAACAAAAATGCGGTCAGCTACAAATCAACCCTCATTATCGATATTTCGTAAACACCCACCTTAATTCGCTTGTTCTCGGTGTAAGGCACATAACTAACACCATCTCCACTGTACTTGACGATGTAGGTCTTTACCCACTGATTTGCATCCTGCCGTCCTTGGGTCGCTATTCCTTTAAATCTTGTTATATAACCAAAGTTAACCTTGAACCATTGGTGAACATCTCTACGCCGAGAACTCCATGACCATCTGTGGTTCAGTCGGCCATGCCATGGTGATAAGTGGTGATTGTAGTAAGTAGACGCTGACAAAGACCCCGGACTGAGGCGTTTGTCTTCTAGACCCAGAGGTATGTTGCAGTGGTCTGTAGGGTAAAGAGGAAGGTTTGACCAAGCATTGAGAGCGTAGAAGTAGCTTCCATGACATTTGTGCAGGAAACAGAAGCAAAGTATACACTGGAACGAGCAACCTACTAAACTCTGCCTCACCCCTTCCATGACAGTAGCGCCAGACTCTGCCTCACCCCTTCCATGACAGTAGCGCCAGACTAGTATTTGGGAGGCGCAAGTTCGATTACATTTTGAAGCATGGATTTCAGTTTTTCCGGCTTCCTTTTACTGCAGCTCACCTGTGAGGATCATTTCTTTACTTTTATAGCATGTGTAATAAAGAAAAGAAAAAAAGGGGAAAAGTGACAAACAATAGCGGGAACCACACAGACAGACAGACAGACAGACAGACAGTCAGACAGGCAGAAAGTAAGACAGGAAAACAGACAGACAGGAACACAGACAGAGAGACAGACAGGAAGACAAAAAAGAAGAGAGACAGGCAGGGAGACAGACAGACAGACAGACAGATAGAGAGACAGACAGACGGGTAGTGAGAGACAGAATGACAGACAGGCAGAGAGACAGACAGTCAGACAGGTAGACAGACAGAGAGTCAAACAAGTAGAGAGGCAGACAGTCAAATAGACTGACTTTAGAATTAAATGTACAAAGGAAAGAAAAAAAAAGAAGCAAAAGAAAGAAAGTTATCTTATCTTTAGTCCATAATTTGTTACTGATAAAAACGACAAACTAGTCAAACCTTCAACACATCCATAGAACTCCACTCTCATAGAGATGTGTCCATACCATCCCCATGGGCGAACCTGAATGTATCTCGCTTTGATTGGTGGATAGAATCTGTACATTACCACAGTATTTTGGTCTCTGTTGCCCTTAAAATACTGAAAAAGGGAAAAAAGTGGTTTAGTACTTTTCACTGATAAGCAATTTTCATCAGCTATGCACGAAAAGTGGCTGCTGTAAGATCTTCGCTGACGAAGTCATTTAGCCAACCGTGCAACTTAACAAGCATAACGAAACTCGCATAGGTCTTAATCTCTCCATTAAAACAAAATTTCTTCCAGGAATATATCAACATTAGAAGCTCTCTACTCGACGACGAGCATTGGATATGAATTCACCATTAGTCCGGTACTAATACTCTCATGTTTTTTTTTTGATTATGATAACGTATGTGAAATTGAAAAGATCAATTAAACTTTGAATCGAAAGGGACTTTCTAACCACAAGTCAAACGCATTCCAGTTCTATCAAAGATAGTTTCTTGTTACCTTTCTATTGCTGTTCTCCTCATAGTCGGCAAAATGTGCGCAGTCTTGACTGTATTTGACGTAGTACTGCTTCACCCATTGACGTGCATCTTGTCGTCCCTGGGTAGCGATCTTTACAATCCGCATGTAGCGTTTGAAATCCACCTGTAACCACTGGTAACGATTATTGTGACGAGCTGACCAAGCGCCTGTCTTAGCACCGGTTCTTCGCCAGTGGAGTCTGGCATTACTTGCTCCATGATTTCGGTCCCAGATTGATGCTGCTGTGATTTGATTAGCGTGAATGCGGCCATTCTTCATTCCTAAAGGTTTGTCACATCTCGGGCCTACATTTTGTGAGAGACAAGTACATACTTGAGATTAAAGTTCGTTTGCTTCCAAGATACACACATTTCAATCAAAGCCGGTTGACAGCATGTCTACTACCACGTAAACGACATCTCACCGCCATCTTTTCAGTCCGTAAGTTGCCTCATGTGTTTGGGTTTCTCTTTGTCACTGAGCTAAAATTTTGTAGGCGTAACTCATTCAAGTTATTACAATGTATGTAGGCGACACTTGGGTTATCTATACTTGATAGTTCTAGGACTGGAAAGAGACGAGACGAGACGATACTATTTCTCTAAAATTACCGATCATTATGTTGCGTAGGTTGACCTACCAATGACACAGCCATAGAGTTCTACTCTCATGGAGATCCAGCTACGCCACGTGACCGGATGTATCTTGAAGTAACGTCCCACTATTGGTCGAAGGAATCGGTGTGTTACGACTACGTATCGGTCAAAGTTGCCCGGGAATATCTGAAATAGAATAATAATAATAATTATAGTTCACTCATGAATTATTCCTTACATATTTAATTAATAATTGTAAAACGATGCGGTTGCACCAAGGATAAGAACATTCAAGGAGTTACTTTGTTTTGTTTTTCAACAATCACCTCCTTGTAATTTACCGCTTCAATGCTTCAGGTCTCAAAGATCTGATTTATAATTCTTCATCAAAGAGGATTTGGCTTTGTATCATTGAAACATCCTCTGTTTGATAAATTTGTCTATTCTCGTCGTCTGTTTGCTGAATAATGTGTCGCTACTGCGAGGAGATGTTACATTTTAATCAACTCTTGGAGTAAAGAGAATAAAGTATTATATCTCAATGGCCCTAGATTTGTGATTTTCTCGGATAGATATCAAAATGTAAAGATCCACTCAAAGAGTCAAAGTTTGAAGGCCTCGGTCGCACCACCCCTCTTTTCATCCTTTCACTCCAAGACAAAAAGGTAATTTCTCCTATACACCGACAAGCCGACAGGTGATAATAAGGAAAAATATCAGGTGGGATATCATTTAAATTCACCTCAAATTCTGAGTACTAAAATCTAAAAAAGCGTGCTGCGGAGGGTAAGAAGATGTACTGATGAGATCTCCCGCTTTCCCTGATTACAAATCTTATTCACCTTTGTACGTCCGTACTCTTTGTACGTCACAAACCGGTATCCCTTCACACTGTAGGACACGTAATAGCTTGTTACCCATTGGTCTGCATTCTGACGACCTTGAGTTGCACAACGTGACACACGGGTCAGTCCACCCATGTCTATCTTCAGCCATTGGCGTTTGTCTTTTCGCTTGGCATACCATGAGCCACCAAACGTGCCAACGCGTCTCTGATGCAGCCTGCCCATTCTCGGTGAACCCCAGTAGTTGTAGTAAGAGGAAGCAGTGATGAGTTGATCAGGGACACGGCGGTCTTCCATTCCAAGAGGAACATCGCACTTGCCTTGAGGAAATAAAGGCAGAAATGTGTTAAGATTTGGAATGAGGTTTCACGTAGTAACGACTTAGCCTTTGGTAAAAACTGCTTCTACAACTTTCTTGTCCTCCACCCTCGTGGAAGGGACACTTTTTTTGTAGTATCAATGTTTTTCCCTAAATGACAGCTACAATTTATCTTTTATCTTCCTTATAGCTTAGTGTTAAATCGTTCAGAGTTCCGACTTGAACAGCGCTGCGAGAGAGTTAGGCAATGAACTGAATCCAGAGCAGCTTGAGGCAACATGCATCCAAGTGCAGCACTTAAAAAATTATCCCTTCAACGAGGAAATCCAACGCATAAAAGGTATCAACAACAATTTTTTAAAATAATTTCGACCACATTGAAAGTGCTTTGTACATAGTCCGTAAATGGCATGTACGTGTAAAAAGTTGCCTTCATGCGTTACACTTCTCACAATATCCTAAATATACGAGTTTATGATGTTCTTTACTTACTCCATGCCCCACCATACACTTCCATTCTCATCGAGATGTGTGATCGCCAACCACGAGGATTGATTTTGATAAATCTTGCATAGAGAGGAGGGTTGAATGAGCGCGTTTGGACACCATTTCGGTCATAATTTCCTCGAAAAGTCTAAAATACAATTAAGAAAAATGTTATTACTCAATTAAAACTACCTTTCCATCTTGACCCTAAAACTTCTTCTATACTAACTCTTGAATACGACATTTGCGCAAAAGTGTTAAATCGTTTTGTAAATCCAATCGTAATTTGTGTTGTCGGGTTAGCAGTTAATCCAAATATAAACCTTAAACGTGTGAACGGATTACGGTTCAATTGAGGGTTTAGAATCGGCGAGGGAGGGGTTGGTTTTGAAATTTGTTACTTGTGAATCTTTGTCTTTATCATGATAAACATCCTTCGTGAATCAAATGTGCCAACTCGTATAACCACTACAGATCTAGCTTACAGAATACTTTGTTCATTAGATTTGTTCGTTTGACCCCTCTCTTTCTTTGACGAAAAAAAAAATATACTTTTGACTGCTTTTCATGACAATGGGTGACGTTTATATGAGAAGAACACAAAAATTTCCAATAGTCAGTTATTTACACCGATCACCTACTGGTCTCTCCCTTCTGTGACGATGACAGATAAACGTTCGATAAATAAATATTTGATCGATTCTGATGTAACACTAACAGCCCTTTTACCAACAGCCCTTTTAAGGACTTACCTGACTACCTGACCAGACTTTTACTCCAGTGTTCAAACAGTTAACCGAGTTTGTAAGATTACAGTCCGACTACTAACCTTTATAACGTCCCACCAGTAAGTGACGCGAGAAAAGTGTACTCCATCCAAACTGTAGTAAACATAATATGCTGTCACCCACTGGTCTGCATCTTGCCGTCCCTGCGTTGCCATACCAGTGACCTTGGTTGGTCTGCCTAAGTCAATCTTCAGCCATTGATTGCGGTTGTTATGACGAGAAGACCACGCCCCAATGTACCGTCCTTGTTTGGGGACATGCAATCGGGCACGGAACGGGGCATGGTATTTGTCCCATTGGGATGAGGCAGTGAAAGCTGCATTCTTTATTGCACCTCTTTGAAGTCCTTGGACCCGGTCACAGAAACGTTCTGAGGATGCAAATGAAAAGAAACGAAATCTAAGTAAAATAAATTGACGTTTTGAGGACTAATTATATCACAGTGCTTTGTTGTGTTTGTAAGTTGCGCGCTTTAACGGTGCACGTTATACGTTGTAAAATAACGTAACGTTCACCTTTTTCATGTCTTGTACAATTTTTCCTGAAATAATTGAACTGAGATAATCTGACGTTTTCATAACAATCTAAATCACTTATACGTCTGAAAGTTGTGTCTATCACGCTGCACGCTACATGTTCGCAACGTAACGTTCTCCGATGTGTTATTCAGTGTAAGTTTCCTTTTGCTTTGCATGACATTGTACAATATGGAGGTACTCATTAACCTTGAATCAAGGGGAAAACATGTCTAGTGTAATCTTATTCTCTTGAACGTACCCTTGTATCGGCAACCGTACAACTCTACACGCATTGCGATGTAACTGCGCCAACTTCTGGGATGAATGCGAAGGAACTTGGCCTTGATCGCTGGGATTATCTTGTATGAAACTGTGTGGTAGATGTCATAGTTGCCGCGGAAGACCTGTTAAAACAATACAGGCAAATTTTTTAAAAAAAATACAAATATGAAATTGTAATGTGTGAAAACTATTCGAGAAAGGTTTTGCGACGCCGCTTTGAGATTGAGATATCTAACGAACCGGATGCATACAACAGTCTGCGAAGAACTTCCAAATAAATTACCTTGGCAAGAAATGTTCACGAAAAATTAACTGCTCGTGATGTCTACGAAAATCGAATTGTAATGTGGGGTTCGATGCAGAAGCATTTACAATACTAGTCAGTATCAGTACCATTAGTTAAGAAGCTACAAATGCATGTGACAATTATTTGTTATTTCAACATCAAAGAAAGATAGGAATAATAGAGGCGCGGAGAAAATCATCACACATCATCTCACCTTAACCTTGCCATACGCGACGTATAGTCTAAAGCGAAGACCTTTTGCACTGTAAGAGAGTGTATAACTCTTCACCCATTGATGGGCTTCCCTCCTTCCTTGTGTAGCGATTCCCTTAATAATACTCATTATTCTCATGTCGATCTGCAGCCACTGGTTAGTATTTCTATACTTTGCTACCCAAGCTCCCGTTCTTCCATGTCCGTTATAGATATTTAGACGTGCTCGGTCAGGTCCGTGGTTGTAGTTGTACGACGACGAGGCCCGAAGATGACCCGACAAGATACGACGGTCCTCCATACCAAGAGGCATGGTGCATTTGTCTATGGAGATATACCATTGTTAGTTTGGGTTTTTGTAAAAGGTGATTACTCTCTAAACAAACTTTTGAGCTAGGCAAGCGGAAATTTGAAAAACCTTTTCCATTCTTTTACCTGTTAGACATCCATAGAACTCAAGTCTCATGGAGATATGCTTGTACCATCCCCAAGGGTGAACTCGAACATAGCGACATCTAAGCGCAGGGATGAAGGCGTGACTAACAATGGTATTCTGATCACGGTTGCCTGTGAAATACTGAACAAAGAAACGAAACAAAACAACAGTTAGCACACGCAACTTCGGGGATTCGTTCGAAAGTATTTCCCGGTGTCGGTTCAATCGGAAGTACTAACGAGTGATGCGATTAAGTAACAGCGAGGAAATGGAAGTTGGTTGAAGTCGTTTCTTGTTCTAGTCCTTATGGAGCGTTTATAGTGTTCAAACTGCCCCGACAAGTTTCTTCCCCCCACCTCCAAACAATTCTAATTCAACCTGAAATCTGTGAAAAAGCACAGTAGCCTCGTGGATCTGTCACTCTTACAACAGTATGATTCTCAATCAAGTCTAACAGGAGCAACTTACAGTGAAATTTTCAACAACTTTGATTTCCTCCTTTCACTTACCTTGATTGAGTTCCTCTCTTGATAAGGCCTAAAATTCACTGCATCCAAGCTACGTGTTACGTAATACTGCGTGACCCACTGATTATAGTCCTGCCTTCCCTGGGTGGAAATCCTGATAATTTTTGCAGGTCCAGTGAAGTCGCATTGAATCCACTGATAACGGTTTTTATACTGTGCAGACCACGCTCCAATCCACCTACCATGGCGACGAATATTCAGCCGCGCTCGATAAGGACCATGGAAGTTGTCCCATCGAGATGATGATGTCATGAGATGATTTTTCAATCTGTTGTTCTGTAGTCCCATTGGCCGATTGCACAAGTGACCTGCGTTTCCAAAAGAAAGAGGTGTGTCAAAACGCATCGATTCAGATTTTGTCACTACACAAGAGCAGTTCATATTATACAACAAAGACAGTGCAACTAGTTAGTAAAGGCTAAATTACAAAGAGGTACAAAGTACATGAGCGAAAATCAACGAAATGCAATTGTACTAGAATAAGAGAGACAACAGAAACTAAAAGAGTTACATTCATCATGCCAACCACGCAAACCACATTTCCTGCCACTTAATAAGACACCCACAACGTTTGATAACTGAACTACCTTGGAGTCCCGACGAAGGGCTAACGCTCGAAACGTCAGCTTTTAGAATCGTAACGGTGGCCAATTTACCTTTTCAACTTTGTTGATATATTCAAATTACTTTGGAGTCCCATTGTGTCGAGACCCGCGGGATATTCTTTTTCTAACCATTTTCACTGCATTACCGCAGTAGGGTAGGACTTAGTTCTTAGTAACCGAGCGGGAGGTCTGTATGGGAGAATCTTGACCGAGGTCGCCAGTACAGACCGAACGCAGGCAAAACAANGCCGGAGCTTGAACCCTCGACCTCCCGCACAGCAGCCCAGCGCTCTATTCATTGAGCTAACCGGGAGGCGGTTTCTGAGGTTTCTGTGGAATATTCTGAGGTTTCCGCGGGATATTCTGAGGTTTCCGCGGGATATTCTGAGGTTTCCGATGTCTAGCCACATTCCCACCCACTGACGCACACTATCTGACTGTTATTTTACTCAAGATATCCGCATCCGAATACAAATCGTTGCAACTGACTACTTATTTCTGCCCCTTTTTTCGTAAAACAAGATTAGGATCATTGTGTAACATACCCAGTCTGCATCCGTACAACTCTACCCTCATGGCAATGTATCCATACCAGGACCGCGGCTGAATTCGGATATAGCGGGCCTTTATGGCCGGGCGGAGTTTGTGCACCACAACAAAATATCTTTCGGTGTTTCCTTGGAAGAGCTGTAAACACAAACCGTTCGGTTGTAGAACAGTCCGTTTTGAAATATTAAAGGAGCTTTTCTAAGCTTGTACAAGACTTTCAGGTCATTTACTTTAGATGACGTATGATGCTCAATTCCCATTAGAGGAAAGGTCGAATTCCTATCGAAATGACTGGGTTCTAGGGAACTATTCTGATAGTCCATTTTATAGTTGCGTGCTTGGTTGCCACGCCTTTGAACAGGAGGGAGGCTAAGGATGAACATGTTATTATACAAACGTTGCTGCTTTTCAAATGTAAATTACTTTGTTATCATGTTAACTACATACTAGTTTCTATCACAGCAAGGTGACCTTCAGCCTCAATCCAATTCGAAAGCTTGGCAACAAAGGAAACAACTGTAAAATGGCTTATTGGGAACCCAAGAATAGAAAAAAATTCAAGGGGATTACAAAATTTGAACATTTAATGATACGCCTCTCTTTTCGGTTAAAACGTACAAAACACGATGTATATAGCTTGAAGGAAACAATGACTTGTTTTTGCGGGAACTACTCCAATAGAATAACACCCACTTACCCTTGTTCTTCTTGCCTGCTTGTATGGGAAAAATCTGACACCATTGTTGCTATAGGACACGGTGTATGATGTAACCCACTGGTTTGCGTCATATCGAGCCTGAGTCGCGATGCGTTTCACAATGGACACTGTTCCCAAGTCAATCTGTAGCCACTGGTGAGTGTTACGGTACTTAGCAACCCAGCCTCCTCGGAAGGAGCCATGATTCCGAGCCTGCAACCTGGCGCACCAGGGACCGTAGTAGTGGTTGTACATGGACGAGGCGGTGAACATAGCGCGTGTAATGCGACCGTCCTGGATACCAAGAGGAACATTGCAGCGATCTAGGGGAAAATAAAGACATTATTAATATGTATAGTAAATTATGATAATTAGATACAAATTCAAGTTATAAACAAAATTAAAATGTTATGCCTCGAAAACCTCAACCAAAGGAAAGTGTAGAAGTAATAATCATCAAGTTTGTTTTTTACAATTAGTTTAATTTCTTCCAACCTGGGAGGCACTTGTTCCTTTTTGGTTTATTCATTCAATTTTAAAGCTTTTCTTACGGTCTCTTTCACGCCAAAGGTGAGTTTTCACCTCACAGCAAACTACTGAAGATATCGTTATCTGTCAACTCTTTAATTTTTATAGTTATTCTCCAATTGTCTATAATGTGATTCTGTTTGCTTTGTTCATCTACAATTTATCACTACTTGTTCTTATTTTCCGCGTTATTTTTTCCTCGTGGTACTGAAAGGGACACAACACTACTCTTTTCATAAAGGCTGATAGTTTCGAAAGAAACTGTTTGGGGCTGCGTCGGTGGGAGTAACGAAATAATTTGGATATATCAACAAAGTTGAAATGGTAAATTGGCCACCGTAATAATTACAAAAGCTGACGTTTCGAGCGTTAGCCCTTCGTCGGAGCGAATAGAGGAATTGTGGGTTGTGTGTCCTT